ATGTCCGACAGAGTATATTCCCAAGTATTAATGAACCTTTGGAAGTTTGCTAGGAATATTTACCTTTTAAATTTGATTTGAAGTCAATACTAGGATAATACTACTGCTATAATGATAATATTCCATATCTGTAGCAGAAAAATGATACCAAAACAAAAAACTCCTGTTTGGAAATCATGTCAATATAAATGACAGTCAACCAATGAAGACGAGACAAATTGTGCGCACACGCTCAAAAGAAAAAAGAACAAAAAATTAGCATTTGTGGGTGTCATTTTGTGTGAAGTTCAAAATTTAAAGCTAGTTTCAATCATCATTGCAGAAAATGCATGGACAAACAAAGAGAACCGAAATGCAATGTAGAAAAGGAGAGCAAGTTCACGGAGTATATAATTTTTGAAAGGACAAAGAAAGATTCCAATACCTTACCAGTTTTGCAAAGTTCCCTGCTGTCAAAGGTGCTGAATATCCATCTATAACAACCTGGATGGATACATGTTTGTGATCCAATCAGCATAGACACTATGAGAACAAAGTAAAACAGCAACTAAACCCTTTGGTTATCTGGGCATCAGCTACTCAAAAGAACAGAATAAACTGAATGAACATGTAACCCAGTACAAGTGGCACTATGCATGCATTTAGCTGTCCGTATGTTAGGTTCACTTGGAAGGGCCATTCATTTTCTTTCATTTTCAATTTGTTTTCAACGTGAATTAGTTCAATTTTTATTTTTCCAATGAAGCAAGCTCTATTTGCTTTCGCATTAATATTGGACACAGTAAGGATCTCTGGTCAGTGAAAACCCATCTTTCTCTCTATTTCAGGCAAAAACCTATCCTACGAGGTTTGTCTGCCTATTTCCATCTTTCACTTTCTTATTTCTCTCCACATTTAAAGTTTTCGGATATATAAATATGAAGAATGAAAAAGAATGCATTCCATATCCAAACAACCCCTTAATTAAACTGCATAGTTGAGCTATAGTTAACTGAAGAGATTGTTACACTATCAGAATCTAATGAGAAACCACTATAACAACAAGGTGAACAATGAAAAATAATAATTAATGATATGACCATGAATTGAAATATACGATTATTCAAAGAATTATTGCTTTTGAGGTGCTTACTAAGGCCATAAACAACCTATCATTAACGCAGCAACCTGAACAACAGGTAAGAAATAGCCGGTGACNAAAAAAACCTTTTCCTAGCCATTGCAGTGAGCTACACAAATCCTTTTAAAAGTATTCTACTATTTCAGAGGACATCACTAATTAAACATAATTTTTCACAAACCGTGATTAGAACCTTCACTACCTTCTTTTTCTCCTTTCAATCATCCTCGTAAAGCCTTAAGGAAGCACCAAGTTCACAGGGAACAATCATCTTAAATCATTGTTTGTGACTTCCAGCTCTAGTTACGTAGTTGTCACTTGTCATGTAAAATTCTTAATTCCATTTAATTAGATCTCCATGCCGGAAGAAACTTTAGTAGCTCACAGCTTTCTTGATACACCACCTCAAGATAATGAAAAATTATCTCAGGAATAGCGTCATGAACAAAGAGGCACCAGCATATCTCCACATTGTGTACAAGACAGTCATCCTAACAACCAGTTTCAATTCTACTTATCCATCTGCAGACTACCATCAGTATCGAATAAATGCGCACAAAAGTCCACAGACACATTAAGCAGCTATGGGAACACCAGATAGAGGGACAAAAACAACAGCATATCAAGAAGAATCAATAAGTGACATAATATAATCAATCAGAGAATCGTTAGGCGTAAAGAAACCAACTTCCTAGAACAAAAAACAGATTTTGAACAGCAGTAATATTAAAAACAGAAGCCTTTGCAATCTCCTTATTATATATATTTGTAACGTGTGTGCAATCGAGAATCTGGATGGTATATCTACATCAGAGTAACTGGGAATTTGGGATAGAAATATTTATGTCGTGTTAGTGATTTTTAACACGACAACCGAATTTTAAGGAGGCTTTGAAGGTATGTCAACAGCGAAGCCTTAAACCCAACAACCATATATTCAATATCCAATTCCTATACACATGAATCTTGAAAATTCCACCTAATGTAGATGTACAGAATAGTGGACTCACATGCCAGTAGTCTTGGTCTATGGTTAGCAACTTCGTGATTGCAAAAGTACTCGCAGCAAGAACAATAGTGGCGTTGATGGATCTATCAATCCACTTCTCCATACTTTCCTCTTCACTATTCCCACCAACAGAAGAACTAGCAGAGGAAGAGAACCCAGCGCCCTCAAACGATAACATACCTTCATTCCCAAACCCACCCACCACCTGATTCACTCTCCCCCCTCCTCCTTCAACCTCTCTCTCTATCCCACTCACCACACCGTCTTGCTGATCGGTGCAGTCACTGCTCTGCACTGGAATTACATCGAGTTCTTCGGCCACTGAACCGACCACCACCAAGTCTTTCCGTTTGGTTCTTAGTAAAATTTGGGACTGGTAAGTGGGTTTGATGGTTTTGAGGTGGGGAAGAGAGGGTTTGGGGTTGGGATCTTTGATGGGTTTGGAGAGAGAAAGGAAGGTTTGGGGTGCAATGGAGGCCATTTAGGGGAGGAAACGGAGTGATCGGTGATCAATCGATAATCGACATGGTTTCTCCGAATCAAACGTGTGGTAGATAGGGTGGTTTATATATGAGCGGTGTTGAGATTGGTTTAATCATGTGTTGCGCGGTGTATGATTTTGTAATACTGTCGTATATTTGAGTGAAAATCGATATATATAAAGAAGGTACAAAATATAGTTTCAAAATGGTCGGAACGTTTTCGTTTTTAAGAATACCGAAACAAAACAATGATAAAATTGAAATATTAGAATTTTAAGGTATTTCATAATATTTCGAGATGTATTATAATATTTCAATGTATTTGTCCAATTGTTTTGAAATATTTCAAGGTATTTTAAGATATTTTGATATATTTCAATCAATATTTTAGAAAAATAATTATTAAATTTTTTATTTTTTTCATTATATTTTTGAAACGGATCGAAATATTTTTGAAACACATCAAAATATTTCTGTTTCCTACGTGACCGAAACAATACACTGAAACAAAATTTTGATCCTTGTATACAAACGAGATCTGCACTCATTAACGAGAATGATTCGGTAAATAAGAATGGTTTGATAGTTGAATTTGATTTTTGATAACTTATACTCCTTAAAGGATAATCACTTTTATTTTTTCGAATATATGTTCTAAATTCTATTAGATTATAGTGATGAATATCCAAATTCGAGAAATCAGTCGGTATAAATCTAGATATTCAATAATATATATATATATAAGGATGTCGTCCTAACAAAACAATAAAAAGTGGGGTCTTACTGATCCAGAACTACCATTCCAAGTCCTAGCTACTCCACATGTTTTATGTGGGCAAGAAAATCACACCTCTGAAGTATCTCTTGAGGGTGGTTCTGGATCATGTTATAGAATAAACAGTTGGCTTCGTTTTAAGCCATTCAAGAATCTCAAATGTCATACTTTTCTTCTTTGTTGTACTCTGAAATTAAATGAGGTATAGGATTTTATATATATGTATATATATATATATATTTATTTATTTGTGGCCCATGTATAATTCATGTCCTTGTCAGTTGTCCGTCAACTTGATCCTATCAGAAACTTTGAGATCGATTGAGATTTGAAATGTAGTTTCAGATCATAGATATCAGTGGAAGAAATATAAGGGTAAAGGATAATAAATATTGAATAGTGCTCCAATAGACAATGAACTTGATTCAACAAGGATGAGATGCACTTAGGGGGCAGACCAATCACACCCTTTTCTTTTCTTTTTTGTTTTTTTTGTGCATAGGATGATTAAAAACAAAAACACATAACTCAAAAGTCACGCTGGTCATATCAGCTAACAAAAAATTAGCCAACTAGGAAGGAGGAGTATCAAGCTCCGCAAACTTTTCCATTTGTTGGGCACCAAGATTGGTCATGGCGTCAGCACACTGATTTCCTTTCCTACAATTGGGATATGCATCATATCCATTTAACCTCCTGCAATGAATAATCAAAGCTCTGTTCAGGTGGGTGGTCTTTGGGTTCGCAGAGAGGAGCTTTGCAACATCGAGTGAATCTGTTTCAATAATAATTTGAGTGATGTTCCTCTTTTGAAAGAGTTCCAGACCTCTCTGAATAGCCCTCCGGTTCCGTCTGAAAACTTGTGGAGTCTTCCATCCTCCCATAGAAGCCCACTATCCATTTGCCTTGACCAATCCCACCATGTATAAACGGAAAATCAGTCATAAATTATGAGTTTTATTTGAATTAATAATAAGTAATTTACCCTTGTATAAAATTAAATAAAGACTATTTTAAGAGGTTATAGCTCCCTAAGGTGATGTGATGTCATAATTGATATATAATATTGTCTGATGAACCTCACATGTATATATATTCGATTATTATTTGCCTACATTCAATATGGTAGTTACTGGATTATCCGGAGTTTGTTAAACTCATTTTGTTTTATTATTTGATGGACATACCATGATGATACCGACATACATTGATGATAAGTCGGTAAAACTATAATAGAGAATATTCACTTGCACCCTTTAGATTTTTCAAAAGTCTAATCCCATCACCAGACACCAACACATCTAACATTATAGAAAGGAAATTAGGAGAGAGAAAAAAAAACAAGTAAATAAAAAACAGAAGTTTGTGGCAACATATCTTTTTATGGAACTAACCAACCAATGAAGCTATCATTGCAAAACAAACAAATCAGAAACATTTTCTTCTTCTGAGTTTTGTTCAGTAACTAGAATCAGAATTTAGACAGTACAACTTGCTGAGAACCAAAACAAAAAACAAACAACAGAACCTGCAGAGAAAACCAGGTTGATAAGATTTAAAAAGAACAAAAAAGTGAAAGAATGAAAGAAACTCCTGGGCTCAGAAGACAGCATGTTAATTCTCATCCGGCAATATGAGGCGATCTTGGCCTTCCACTAGCTTTGCAGATTGAATGACATCCCCGGTTTTTATCTGAGGAAGGATATCTCTCCCAACGGTTGTGTACCTGTACATAATTGCTATCAGCTTTAAGTAACCAAATCATTTTCTTTTTTTCAAGAAAAATACCATATCAGTGATTGCAACTAAAATTAAGGGCATACCCAAAGACAGAAAATTGACCCTCCTCGAAAGACAACCCTCCTAAGCCAGACTGTTGGATATGAATCATATCAGATGTTTAAACTGGAAATTCTTTTCAGATGTATAAGCTAAATGTCACTTTTAGATGCAAAATTATGATGACAATTATTGAATTCAAATCGAGTCATCCTATGAAACAAACACATCAAATACTACTCACATTCCTCTTATCATATAGATAAAAGAAGAACTGATATGGAGATGAGTACTCCTCAGACACATCACTGTGTGCCATAGCAACTGCACCATAAACTGATAATGGAAGCACAGGCAGCTCTCCATCCTTCCATAAATAAAACATTAACTATTATTCGCTGGACAAAAATATCATGTTGAGAGCCATCTTCAAAGTTTGAGAACAGAATATATGTGAACAAACCTGCACACTTAGAGTTGTTTTGTACAGCGGTTCAAACTGTCCAGATGGCATTATTTCTAAGGGAACACCATAACCACTGTTCTTTCCAAACCCACTGTCTGAGAGAATTGCTTGGTCAGTACAGCTGAGCTTCACCCCGTTATATGCCCCATCAACCACCTAAGTCACAATTAAGAATTTTTGGTGAGTTCATTGGTGAGAGATCACAAGCCCACTCAAAGAATTTGGGTGGATGAGGTTTTAACAATTTGCAATTACCTTTATTTTGAGACTTCAGGAGGACAACAAGCCAGAACGTTGTCAAAAGGCAATATGAAAATACAATACTATAGCATCATAGCTATTCAGAATCACTTGTATGAGGTCAACAATGAAAAGGCTCATAAGGATTAACAGTTATCTATTCTCTTCATGCATATGTATATCTCAACATTAGTTTCACACATATATTATACACGAATTGATTATCTTGCCCTTAAAGTGTTCCAGTGTTTGGTATCAAATTCATTCTTAGTGTGTGTATGTGCGTGAAGGTGATACCGTGATACTTGTCTTCTTATTGGTCAACTATTTGAGAAGATGACAGTGTATTTGGCTCCAACTCTCCCTTGAAACTGTTGGTAAAGAACTAAAAAATAACATACATCTTGATAATAATGTCCGACAGAGTATATTCCCAAGTATTAATGAACCTTTGGAAGTTTGCTAGGAATATTTACCTTTTAAATTTGATTTGAAGTCAATACTAGGATAATACTACTGCTATAATGATAATATTCCATATCTGTAGCAGAAAAATGATACCAAAACAAAAAACTCCTGTTTGGAAATCATGTCAATATAAATGACAGTCAACCAATGAAGACGAGACAAATTGTGCGCACACGCTCAAAAGAAAAAAGAACAAAAAATTAGCATTTGTGGGTGTCATTTTGTGTGAAGTTCAAAATTTAAAGCTAGTTTCAATCATCATTGCAGAAAATGCATGGACAAACAAAGAGAACCGAAATGCAATGTAGAAAAGGAGAGCAAGTTCACGGAGTATATAATTTTTGAAAGGACAAAGAAAGATTCCAATACCTTACCAGTTTTGCAAAGTTCCCTGCTGTCAAAGGTGCTGAATATCCATCTATAACAACCTGGATGGATACATGTTTGTGATCCAATCAGCATAGACACTATGAGAACAAAGTAAAACAGCAACTAAACCCTTTGGTTATCTGGGCATCAGCTACTCAAAAGAACAGAATAAACTGAATGAACATGTAACCCAGTACAAGTGGCACTATGCATGCATTTAGCTGTCCGTATGTTAGGTTCACTTGGAAGGGCCATTCATTTTCTTTCATTTTCAATTTGTTTTCAACGTGAATTAGTTCAATTTTTATTTTTCCAATGAAGCAAGCTCTATTTGCTTTCGCATTAATATTGGACACAGTAAGGATCTCTGGTCAGTGAAAACCCATCTTTCTCTCTATTTCAGGCAAAAACCTATCCTACGAGGTTTGTCTGCCTATTTCCATCTTTCACTTTCTTATTTCTCTCCACATTTAAAGTTTTCGGATATATAAATATGAAGAATGAAAAAGAATGCATTCCATATCCAAACAACCCCTTAATTAAACTGCATAGTTGAGCTATAGTTAACTGAAGAGATTGTTACACTATCAGAATCTAATGAGAAACCACTATAACAACAAGGTGAACAATGAAAAATAATAATTAATGATATGACCATGAATTGAAATATACGATTATTCAAAGAATTATTGCTTTTGAAGTGCTTACTAAGGCCATAAACAACCTATCATTAACGCAGCAACCTGAACAACAGGTAAGAAATAGCCGGTGATNTTCTTTTTCTCCTTTCAATCATCCTCGTAAAGCCTTAAGGAAGCACCAAGTTCACAGGGAACAATCATCTTAAATCATTGTTTGTGACTTCCAGCTCTAGTTACGTAGTTGTCACTTGTCATGTAAAATTCTTAATTCCATTTAATTAGATCTCCATGCCGGAAGAAACTTTAGTAGCTCACAGCTTTCTTGATACACCACCTCAAGATAATGAAAAATTATCTCAGGAATAGCGTCATGAACAAAGAGGCACCAGCATATCTCCACATTGTGTACAAGACAGTCATCCTAACAACCAGTTTCAATTCTACTTATCCATCTGCAGACTACCATCAGTATCGAATAAATGAGCACAAAAGTCCACAGACACATTAAGCAGCTATGGGAACACCAGATAGAGGGACAAAAACAACAGCATATCAAGAAGAATCAATAAGTGACATAATATAATCAATCAGAGAATCGTTAGGCGTAAAGAAACCAACTTCCTAGAACAAAAAACAGATTTTGAACAGCAGTAATATTAAAAACAGAAGCCTTTGCAATCTCCTTATTATATATATTTGTAACGTGTGTGCAATCGAGAATCTGGATGGTATATCTACATCAGAGTAACTGGGAATTTGGGATAGAAATATTTATGTCGTGTTAGTGATTTTTAACACGACAACCGAATTTTAAGGAGGCTTTGAAGGTATGTCAACAGCGAAGCCTTAAACCCAACAACCATATATTCAATATCCAATTCCTATACACATGAATCTTGAAAATTCCACCTAATGTAGATGTACAGAATAGTGGACTCACATGCCAGTAGTCTTGGTCTATGGTTAGCAACTTCGTGATTGCAAAAGTACTCGCAGCAAGAACAATAGTGGCGTTGATGGATCTATCAATCCACTTCTCCATACTTTCCTCTTCACTATTCCCACCAACAGAAGAACTAGCAGAGGAAGAGAACCCAGCGCCCTCAAACGATAACATACCTTCATTCCCAAACCCACCCACCACCTGATTCACTCTCCCCCCTCCTCCTTCAACCTCTCTCTCTATCCCACTCACCACACCGTCTTGCTGATCGGTGCAGTCACTGCTCTGCACTGGAATTACATCGAGTTCTTCGGCCACTGAACCGACCACCACCAAGTCTTTCCGTTTGGTTCTTAGTAAAATTTGGGACTGGTAAGTGGGTTTGATGGTTTTGAGGTGGGGAAGAGAGGGTTTGGGGTTGGGATCTTTGATGGGTTTGGAGAGAGAAAGGAAGGTTTGGGGTGCAATGGAGGCCATTTAGGGGAGGAAACGGAGTGATCGGTGATCAATCGATAATCGACATGGTTTCTCCGAATCAAACGTGTGGTAGATAGGGTGGTTTATATATGAGCGGTGTTGAGATTGGTTTAATCATGTGTTGCGCGGTGTATGATTTTGTAATACTGTCGTATATTTGAGTGAAAATCGATATATATAAAGAAGGTACAAAATATAGTTTCAAAATGGTCGGAACGTTTTCGTTTTTAAGAATACCGAAACAAAACAATGATAAAATTGAAATATTAGAATTTTAAGGTATTTCATAATATTTCGAGATGTATTATAATATTTCAATGTATTTGTCCAATTGTTTTGAAATATTTCAAGGTATTTTAAGATATTTTGATATATTTCAATCAATATTTTAGAAAAATAATTATTAAATTTTTTATTTTTTTCATTATATTTTTGAAACGGATCGAAATATTTTTGAAACACATCAAAATATTTCTGTTTCCTACGTGACCGAAACAATACACTGAAACAAAATTTTGATCCTTGTATACAAACGAGATCTGCACTCATTAACGAGAATGATTCGGTAAATAAGAATGGTTTGATAGTTGAATTTGATTTTTGATAACTTATACTCCTTAAAGGATAATCACTTTTATTTTTTCGAATATATGTTCTAAATTCTATTAGATTATAGTGATGAATATCCAAATTCGAGAAATCAGTCGGTATAAATCTAGATATTCAATAATATATATATATATAAGGATGTCGTCCTAACAAAACAATAAAAAGTGGGGTCTTACTGATCCAGAACTACCATTCCAAGTCCTAGCTACTCCACATGTTTTATGTGGGCAAGAAAATCACACCTCTGAAGTATCTCTTGAGGGTGGTTCTGGATCATGTTATAGAATAAACAGTTGGCTTCGTTTTAAGCCATTCAAGAATCTCAAATGTCATACTTTTCTTCTTTGTTGTACTCTGAAATTAAATGAGGTATAGGATTTTATATATATGTATATATATATATATATTTATTTATTTGTGGCCCATGTATAATTCATGTCCTTGTCAGTTGTCCGTCAACTTGATCCTATCAGAAACTTTGAGATCGATTGAGATTTGAAATGTAGTTTCAGATCATAGATATCAGTGGAAGAAATATAAGGGTAAAGGATAATAAATATTGAATAGTGCTCCAATAGACAATGAACTTGATTCAACAAGGATGAGATGCACTTAGGGGGCAGACCAATCACACCCTTTTCTTTTCTTTTTTGTTTTTTTTGTGCATAGGATGATTAAAAACAAAAACACATAACTCAAAAGTCACGCTGGTCATATCAGCTAACAAAAAATTAGCCAACTAGGAAGGAGGAGTATCAAGCTCCGCAAACTTTTCCATTTGTTGGGCACCAAGATTGGTCATGGCGTCAGCACACTGATTTCCTTTCCTACAATTGGGATATGCATCATATCCATTTAACCTCCTGCAATGAATAATCAAAGCTCTGTTCAGGTGGGTGGTCTTTGGGTTCGCAGAGAGGAGCTTTGCAACATCGAGTGAATCTGTTTCAATAATAATTTGAGTGATGTTCCTCTTTTGAAAGAGTTCCAGACCTCTCTGAATAGCCCTCCGGTTCCGTCTGAAAACTTGTGGAGTCTTCCATCCTCCCATAGAAGCCCACTATCCATTTGCCTTGACCAATCCCACCATGTATAAACGGAAAATCAGTCATAAATTATGAGTTTTATTTGAATTAATAATAAGTAATTTACCCTTATATAAAATTAAATAAAGACTATTTTAAAAGGTTATAGCTCCCTAAGGTGATGTGATGTCATAATTGATATATAATATTGTCTGATGAACCTCACATGTATATATATTCAATTATTATTTGCCTACATTCAATATGTTAGTTACTGGATTATCCAGAGTTTGTTAAACTCAATTTGTTTTATTATTTGATGGACATACCATGATGATACCGACATACATTGATGATAAGTCGGTAAAACTATAATAGAGAATATTCACTTGCACCCTTTAGATTTTTCAAAAGTCTAATCCCATCACCAGACACCAACACATCTAACATTATAGAAAGGAAATTAGGAGAGAGAAAAAAAAACAAGTAAATAAAAAACAGAAGTTTGTGGCAACATATCTTTTTATGGAACTAACCAACCAATGAAGCTATCATTGCAAAACAAACAAATCAGAAACATTTTCTTCTTCTGAGTTTTGTTCAGTAACTAGAATCAGAATTTAGACAGTACAACTTGCTGAGAACCAAAACAAAAAACAAACAACAGAACCTGCAGAGAAAACCAGGTTGATAAGATTTAAAAAGAACAAAAAAGTGAAAGAATGAAAGAAACTCCTGGGCTCAGAAGACAGCATGTTAATTCTCATCCGGCAATATGAGGCGATCTTGGCCTTCCACTAGCTTTGCAGATTGAATGACATCCCCGGTTTTTATCTGAGGAAGGATATCTCTCCCAATGGTTGTGTACCTGTACATAATTGCTATCAGCTTTAAGTAACCAAATCATTTTCTTTTTTTCAAGAAAAATACCATATCAGTGATTGCAACTAAAATTAAGGGCATACCCAAAGACAGAAAATTGACCCTCCTCGAAAGACAACCCTCCTAAGCCAGACTGTTGGATATGAATCATATCAGATGTTTAAACTGGAAATTCTTTTCAGATGTATAAGCTAAATGTCACTTTTAGATGAAAAATTATGATGACAATTATTGAATTCAAATCGAGTCATCCTATGAAACAAACACATCAAATACTACTCACATTCCTCTTATCATATAGATAAAAGAAGAACTGATATGGAGATGAGTACTCCTCAGACACATCACTGTGTGCCATAGCAACTGCACCATAAACTGATAATGGAAGCACAGGCAGCTCTCCATCCTTCCATAAATAAAACATTAACTATTATTCGCTGGACAAAAATATCATGTTGAGAGCCATCTCAAAAGTTTGAGAACAGAATATATGTGAACAAACCTGCACACTTAGAGTTGTTTTGTACAGTGGTTCAAACTGTCCAGATGGCATTATTTCTAAGGGAACACCATAACCACTGTTCTTTCCAATCCCACTGTCTGAGAGAATTGCTTGGTCAGTACAGCTGAGCTTCACCCCGTTATATGCCCCATCAACCACCTATGTCACAATTAAGAATTATTGGTGAGTTCATTGGTGAGAGATCACAAGCCCACTCAAAGAATTTGGGTGGATGAGGTTTTAACAATTTGCAATTACCTTTATTTTGAGACTTCAGGAGGACAACAAGCCAGAACGTTGTCAAAAGGCAATATGAAAATACAATACTATAGCATCATAGCTATTCAGAATCACTTGTATGAGGTCAACAATGAAAAGGCTCATAAGGATTAACAGTTATCTATTCTCTTCATGCATATGTATATCTCAACATTAGTTTCACACATATATTATACACGAATTGATTATCTTGCCCTTAAAGTGTTCCAGTGTTTGGTATCAAATTCATTCTTAGTGTGTGTATGTGCGTGAAGGTGATACCGTGATACTTGTCTTCTTATTGGTCAACTATTTGAGAAGATGACAGTGTATTTGGCTCCAACTCTCCCTTGAAACTGTTGGTAAAGAACTAAAAAATAACATACATCTTGATAATAATGTCCGACAGAGTATATTCCCAAGTATTAATGAACCTTTGGAAGTTTGCTAGGAATATTTACCTTTTAAATTTGATTTGAAGTCAATACTAGGATAATACTACTGCTATAATGATAATATTCCATATCTGTAGCAGAAAAATGATACCAAAACAAAAAACTCCTGTTTGGAAATCATGTCAATATAAATGACAGTCAACCAATGAAGACGAGACAAATTGTGCGCACACGCTCAAAAGAAAAAAGAACAAAAAATTAGCATTTGTGGGTGTCATTTTGTGTGAAGTTCAAAATTTAAAGCTAGTTTCAATCATCATTGCAGAAAATGCATGGACAAACAAAGAGAACCGAAATGCAATGTAGAAAAGGAGAGCAAGTTCACGGAGTATATAATTTTTGAAAGGACAAAGAAAGATTCCAATACCTTACCAGTTTTGCAAAGTTCCCTGCTGTCAAAGGTGCTGAATATCCATCTATAACAACCTGGATGGATACATGTTTGTGATCCAATCAGCATAGACACTATGAGAACAAAGTAAAACAGCAACTAAACCCTTTGGTTATCTGGGCATCAGCTACTCAAAAGAACAGAATAAACTGAATGAACATGTAACCCAGTACAAGTGGCACTATGCATGCATTTAGCTGTCCGTATGTTAGGTTCACTTGGAAGGGCCATTCATTTTCTTTCATTTTCAATTTGTTTTCAAAGTGAATTAGTTCAATTTTTATTTTTCCAATGAAGCAAGCTCTATTTGCTTTCGCATTAATATTGGACACAGTAAGGATCTCTGGTCAGTGAAAACCCATCTTTCTCTCTATTTCAGGCAAAAACCTATCCTACGAGGTTTGTCTGCCTATTTCCATCTTTCACTTTCTTATTTCTCTCCACATTTAAAGTTTTCGGATATATAAATATGAAGAATGAAAAAGAATGCATTCCATATCCAAACAACCCCTTAATTAAACTGCATAGTTGAGCTATAGTTAACTGAAGAGATTGTTACACTATCAGAATCTAATGAGAAACCACTATAACAACAAGGTGAACAATGAAAAATAATAATTAATGATATGACCATGAATTGAAATATACGATTATTCAAAGAATTATTGCTTTTGAGGTGCTTACTAAGGCCATAAACAACCTATCATTAACGCAGCAACCTGAACAACAGGTAAGAAATAGCCGGTGACAGATTCAATGAATACAACTTATCTCTGCAAGACAAATTTCCATGATACTTGACAGAATAAGCTTAGAGATGTTAAGCAGAGATAACTGCACCTCTTGTGATAAAAGAGATGTACTATACCTGGATTGTGGCAATTTTTCTAGGTTCACCACCAGCTTCTGGAGAAAAAGTTGAACCATCTCCTTTCTTAATGGAGAATTCGATAGTTCCTCTCCCTGAGAGCCTAAATATTTCATTAAGGCATTAAGGTCCTTGGTGAAACAAGAAGTGTTGTGCTACATAACACCCATGTAACAAGAACTGCAGATTAATGGAAGGTTGTGCATAAACACCAATGTGCTGTGACCAAAACTATACGCTTTCTAATTTACATGACAGTTGAACACATGTTGGCAGTGTAAGATTGAAAGTCTGTAGTGGAGACATCATGAGATGATAAGTACCCCATACATGTGCTACCATAATGATATACATGAATAACTGACCTAATATTTTTGTAAGTACTCTCACAAATCTACGTGATTGTAAGTNATCATGAGATGATAAGTACCCCATACATGTGCTACCATAATGATATACATGAATAACCGACCTAATATTTTTGTAAGTACTCTCACAAATCTACGTGATTGTAAGCCTTGCTGTCAGGTACAGCACAAACACAAATCAAACCACTGGTTATTGACTTATGTCAAGTCTCTTGTCTGGGAGGACAATAAAATAGTAAGATAGGTACGTAATTCATATAGAATTTCTCGACTCTCCATCTTCTTTTATTTACTACTTTCAGTATTAATCTCAATTCAAAGTAGCGCCAAGCTTTATAAGAGTATCGAGAGAATTACAATTTTCATGCACAAAAATACTACTAGGACAGCCCAGTGCATGAAGCTTCTACCACTGCAAGATCTAGGAAGGGTTACGTGTAAATAGCCTTCCCCCCGAAGGTGAAGAGGTTGTTTTCGCGACTCAAACACTTGAGTCCCAGATCAAAATGTAGCAAACTCTCTCTCTCATGCACACGAACACATGCACCGATAATTGTGTGCACAAAAGTATATGTAGTATATGTACATGCATGCATTGTTGAGGGACCATATCCCCAGGCCCGAGCAATAAGAGTTTCCTACAACTGCTTTTTCATACTATCCTTTCTCAAAAACCTGCCTCCGGTATAAACCAATGCCTCAGCAACTCCCAAGTCCCATGTATACAATCCTACAATGCGTCCAATACATTACGGCATGATATATTAAAAGAGAACCTACGAGCAACATTACCTCGGATACTTCAGGTACTGTTCAGGTAACAAAAATGACAACCCTGGAGCCTGTGGAAATCCAACCCTTTCATATTTCAGCCACTGCTACTAGGCCTCATAACTCACAAAGCCGTAAAAATTCAGGGGAAGGATTTTTCCCCTCATAATAGGTCTAATTTACAGTAACATACCAGTTACTCTAATGCAGAAAACACTAGATATCAACGATCTAGCATATGTGGGTAATAATCTATTACCTGTAACAACTCCAGCTGTGCAAGCGTATCCAGTGAAGATGCAAGACCTACGGATACTCTGTCTGGGTCCTTATCCTTTATACATTCAAGGAGGAATTGCAGCCCACCCTGGTGGTAAAGAAATTTAATATCATTAAGATACTAAAATTACCAAAAAGAACCTATCTCCTGACATTATTTCTTGAATTCATGCCAAGAAACTGAGCACTATTTAAGAATCGAAGTGTGTTGTACAGATAATGCCACCAATGTAATGATATTTTATTCTGAAGAAACATAAAATTTTAACAGCACTATAATCAGAGTGTGAAGCTACACCAATGAAGAACTGGTGTGACATGGGAAGACCAAAGCTGTAAGTACCTTCCCATCTATAAAAGAAGCATACAAATCTGATCCCTTATCCCTTAAATCAGCTGGTATGCTAGCCAATACGGATTCCTTTTCATCCATTGCTATCTAAAATTGAGAAATAACAAAACACAAAAACAGAAAGAAAAAGATGAGTGAGAACAATAAATGAATAATGAGAACATTAAAATAAAATATCACCTAAAATAACGAGTGTTACATACAAAGTTAAGGACAAAAATTAAAGAACAAATACATGCAGGTCAGAGTGCAAACTTTAACAGAAATCATGGTAAAAATAAAAATACATATGTCAATAACAGCAATGTACTAAAGCTTCACAAATTAAACAAATAGGCATGTGTGACCTTGCTGTACTGAGTCGTAGATAAGCATGCATGTCAAGCAACAATGAGAAAGCATGTAACTCCTATGAACNTATGTCAATAACAGCAATGTACTAAAGCTTCACAAATTAAACAAATAGGCATGTGTGGCCTTGCTGTACTGAGTCGTAGATAAGCATGCATGTCAAGCAACAATGAGAAAGCATGTAACTCCTATGAAAAATCAGAGGTCTCGAGTTACAGTCATTAACAAGCAATACGCAACAACACTGAATAATTGGTGCATGCAGAACTTGCCCAAATTAGAGGAGCCTCATTCTCCACAATGTTTTAGGAATCTGTCCATAAACCTTGCATTATTTTCTTCTCCTCACATATTTTCTTTTGTAGAGTTAAAGTCAGAATAAGAGTCTCAATTTTGTGGGTCATAAAACAAACAGAAAATAACGGGGAAAAGTACATGAAAAATCATCAGCAACGACTAACTCCACAAAACTAGGTTACAAAGTTGAGATACATATGCTTCAAAAAGGAAACCAGTAATTAAAACAACATGGGCAAAACATGATATCATGCACTGAAAATTCTAGCTTAAATAGATTATGATACTCATTATGTTTTTCTCTCCCTTTCCAGGACTATAAGTTGAAAGGTAACGAGTAATACCTTTAGAGCTTTTTTCACATTTCCCTCCATTGTTCCATAGGGCTTTCTCTGTGGAATCCTCAGCAAATATGAGATGTCCTCCAGAGAATCCTATAAGGAGAAGCAAGAAAATCTGCAAATAATTTAACACCTAAGGAGATATGGAAGCAGCAGATTTATAGTACTTTCGAACATGAAAAAAACAAATCAGTCACCTGTATAGCTTTCATACTTGCATTTGCAGGGATAGCCCTTCGCAAAGCTAGTTCCCCTGTTCTAGGAACTTTTGTGTCTGGAGAATAAAGCACTGCCTTAGCAGGAGAAATGGACATTTTATTCCAACCAGCCAAAGGTAGTGGAGATGTGATTTGAACTAAAATAAGAATAGCAGCAATGATGCTCTCAAATCTCTTCGCTCCATGCTCCAAAACTGACGTGTAATCTTTGTTAAGAATATCATGCTGGTTTGTGAATCCCTGCACGGCTATATCCCAGTTCAGAAGTGGGACAACCAATTTGGCAAAAAACCATCCGTTCATGGGTTGCAAGTATCCTAGAGTGGAGGATTGGGGAGTTAGGGTCATGTGTGAGAGAGAGAAGAAAGAGAGGTCAGTATGAGTATATTTATTCAGCCAGCAATCAACGAGGTGAATAGGAGGGTGGAGTCAGGGTGAAAGAGAGGGGGATGCAGAGGGGGAGAGAGATCAATATCAGCATATAGAAAAAGGCAGCAGTCAACAGGGTGTATCACTGCTGAAGTTGATTAAATTGGGTACAGCAACCCCACAATAAAGGCATTCTATCATGAGCGTATAAAAATCAAAGTGTCAACGCAGTTACAAAACTCATTTGGAAGTGAAGAGAAACGCACAGAGTGGTGGAGCCACGTTTGAGGGCTGGGGAGCACTTGCTCCTTCAGCCTTTGAACAATACTTGGATATATAGTAGTAAATTACCATGACTCTTGTCAATGTACCACGTGCCCCCTTTGGTTTTTCAAGAGTTGTGTAGTGACTCTAATCCTTTTTCTTTTAAGTTAGTAGCCCACTGATCCCCCAAACCAGGCAAACCAAATATTTCTACTCTTGGAATGTGAAATGTCCAAAAATAAATGTGACATGCATGAAACATTTCCGATTCATCCTCACCCTTAAATATCATGACCAAAAAATAAGACCTCTCTTTTTTAATGTACTACCCACTATTTTCTTTTAAAGCAACATATAGTTGACTCTGACAATATCTCGAGAAATTAGTGGCTGATAACCAAGTAAAACATGATTAAAAGCAAATGGTAAAATGACATAACACAAAAAGCATTCTCTACCTTATGAAGAATCAATTTTAGATAGATGATGTTCTTGACTAGATTTGCAACAAAATGAAGTATGATTTTGTCATGGACCCTTTCATTTTATACATTGAAAGGAAACTGCTAAAAAATGTAGCACATAATCAACTATAGATGATATTGAGAATTTGAAAGAACACCGTATTTCACTTTAATATCATCCACGATACTAGTTTTAGTCGTCATACACTAATTTAGGTTTGAATCCGAATATATTTACATGCTGAAAACTTAGGGATCTTTTATATGAGTTGGTGAATTTTTATTCATGTTTTTGNTGGTTGTGTACCTGTACATAATTGCTATCAGCTTTAAGTAACCAAATCATTTTCTTTTTTTCAAGAAAAATACCATATCAGTGATTGCAACTAAAATTAAGGGCATACCCAAAGACAGAAAATTGACCCTCCTCGAAAGACAACCCTCCTAAGCCAGACTGTTGGATATGAATCATATCAGATGTTTAAACTGGAAATTCTTTTCAGATGTATAAGCTAAATGTCACTTTTAGATGCAAAATTATGATGACAATTATTGAATTCAAATCGAGTCATCCTATGAAACAAACACATCAAATACTACTCACATTCCTCTTATCATATAGATAAAAGAAGAACTGATATGGAGATGAGTACTCCTCAGACACATCACTGTGTGCCATAGCAACTGCACCATAAACTGATAATGGAAGCACAGGCAGCTCTCCATCCTTCCATAAATAAAACATTAACTATTATTCGCTGGACAAAAATATCATGTTGAGAGCCATCTCAAAAGTTTGAGAACAGAATATATGTGAACAAACCTGCACACTTAGAGTTGTTTTGTACAGTGGTTCAAACTGTCCAGATGGCATTATTTCTAAGGGAACACCATAACCACTGTTCTTTCCAATCCCACTGTCTGAGAGAATTGCTTGGTCAGTACAGCTGAGCTTCACCCCGTTATATGCCCCATCAACCACCTATGTCACAATTAAGAATTATTGGTGAGTTCATTGGTGAGAGATCACAAGCCCACTCAAAGAATTTGGGTGGATGAGGTTTTAACAATTTGCAATTACCTTTATTTTGAGACTTCAGGAGGACAACAAGCCGGAACGTTGTCAAAAGGCAATATGAAAATACAATGCTATAGCATCATAGCTATTCAGAATCACTTGTATGAGGTCAACAATGAAAAGGCTCATAAGGATTAACAGTTATCTATTCTCTTCATGCATATGTATATCTCAACATTAGTTTCACACATATATTATACACGAATTGATTATCTTGCCCTTAAAGTGTTCCAGTGTTTGGTATCAAATTCATTCTTAGTGTGTGTATGTGCGTGAAGGTGATACCGTGATACTTGTCTTCTTATTGGTCAACTATTTGAGAAGATGACAGTGTATTTGGCTCCAACTCTCCCTTGAAACTGTTGGTAAAGAACTAAAAAATAACATACATCTTGATAATAATGTCCGACAGAGTATATTCCCAAGTATTAATGAACCTTTGGAAGTTTGCTAGGAATATTTACCTTTTAAATTTGATTTGAAGTCAATACTAGGATAATACTACTGCTATAATGATAATATTCCATATCTGTAGCAGAAAAATGATACCAAAACAAAAAACTCCTGTTTGGAAATCATGTCAATATAAATGACAGTCAACCAATGAAGACGAGACAAATTGTGCGCACACGCTCAAAAGAAAAAAGAACAAAAAATTAGCATTTGTGGGTGTCATTTTGTGTGAAGTTCAAAATTTAAAGCTAGTTTCAATCATCATTGCAGAAAATGCATGGACAAACAAAGAGAACCGAAATGCAATGTAGAAAAGGAGAGCAAGTTCACGGAGTATATAATTTTTGAAAGGACAAAGAAAGATTCCAATACCTTACCAGTTTTGCAAAGTTCCCTGCTGTCAAAGGTGCTGAATATCCATCTATAACAACCTGGATGGATACATGTTTGTGATCCAATCAGCATAGACACTATGAGAACAAAGTAAAACAGCAACTAAACCCTTTGGTTATCTGGGCATCAGCTACTCAAAAGAACAGAATAAACTGAATGAACATGTAACCCAGTACAAGTGGCACTATGCATGCATTTAGCTGTCCGTATGTTAGGTTCACTTGGAAGGGCCATTCATTTTCTTTCATTTTCAATTTGTTTTCAAAGTGAATTAGTTCAATTTTTATTTTTCCAATGAAGCAAGCTCTATTTGCTTTCGCATTAATATTGGACACAGTAAGGATCTCTGGTCAGTGAAAACCCATCTTTCTCTCTATTTCAGGCAAAAACCTATCCTACGAGGTTTGTCTGCCTATTTCCATCTTTCACTTTCTTATTTCTCTCCACATTTAAAGTTTTCGGATATATAAATATGAAGAATGAAAAAGAATGCATTCCATATCCAAACAACCCCTTAATTAAACTGCATAGTTGAGCTATAGTTAACTGAAGAGATTGTTACACTATCAGAATCTAATGAGAAACCACTATAACAACAAGGTGAACAATGAAAAATAATAATTAATGATATGACCATGAATTGAAATATACGATTATTCAAAGAATTATTGCTTTTGAGGTGCTTACTAAGGCCATAAACAACCTATCATTAACGCAGCAACCTGAACAACAGGTAAGAAATAGCCGGTGACAGATTCAATGAATACAACTTATCTCTGCAAGACAAATTTCCATGATACTTGACAGAATAAGCTTAGAGATGTTAAGCAGAGATAACTGTACCTCTTGTGATAAAAGAGATGTACTATACCTGGATTGTGGCAATTTTTCTAGGTTCACCACCAGCTTCTGGAGAAAAAGTTGAACCATCTCCTTTCTTAATGGAGAATTCGATAGTTCCTCTCCCTGAGAGCCTAAATATTTCATTAAGGCATTAAGGTCCTTGGTGAAACAAGAAGTGTTGTGCTACATAACACCCATGTAACAAGAACTGCAGATTAATGGAAGGTTGTGCATAAACACCAATGTGCTGTGACCAAAACTATACGCTTTCTAATTTACATGACAGTTGAACACATGTTGGCAGTGTAAGATTGAAAGTCTGTAGTGGAGACATCATGAGATGATAAGTACCCCATACATGTGCTACCATAATGATATACATGAATAACCGACCTAATATTTTTGTAAGTACTCTCACAAATCTACGTGATTGTAAGCCTTGCTGTCAGGTACAGCACAAACACAAATCAAACCACTGGTTATTGACTTATGTCAAGTCTCTTGTCTGGGAGGACAATAAAATAGTAAGATAGGTACGTAATTCATATAGAATTTCTCGACTCTCCATCTTCTTTTATTTACTACTTTCAGTATTAATCTCAATTCAAAGTAGCGCCAAGCTTTATAAGAGTATCGAGAGAATTACAATTTTCATGCACAAAAATACTACTAGGACAGCCCCGTGCATGAAGCTTCTACCACTGCAAGATCTAGGAAGGGTTACGTGTAAATAGCCTTCCCCCCGAAGGTGAAGAGGTTGTTTTCGCGACTCAAACACTTGAGTCCCAGATCAAAATGTAGCAAACTCTCTCTCTCATGCACACAAACACATGCACCGATAATTGTGTGCACAAAAGTATATGTAGTATATGTACATGCATGCATTGTTGAGGGACCATATCCCCAGGCCCGAGCAATAAGAGTTTCCTACAACTGCTTTTTCATACTATCCTTTCTCAAAAACCTGCCTCCGGTATAAACCAATGCCTCAGCAACTCCCAAGTCCCATGTATACAATCCTACAATGCGTCCAATACATTACGGCATGATATATTAAAAGAGAACCTACGAGCAACATTACCTCGGATACTTCAGGTACTGTTCAGGTAACAAAAATGACAACCCTGGAGCCTGTGGAAATCCAACCCTTTCATATTTCAGCCACTGCTACTAGGCCTCATAACTCACAAAGCCGTAAAAATTCAGGGGAAGGATTTTTCCCCTCATAATAGGTCTAATTTACAGTAACATACCAGTTACTCTAATGCAGAAAACACTAGATATCAACGATCTAGCATATGTGGGTAATAATCTATTACCTGTAACAACTCCAGCTGTGCAAGCGTATCCAGTGAAGATGCAAGACCTACGGATACTCTGTCTGGGTCCTTATCCTTTATACATTCAAGGAGGAATTGCAGCCCACCCTGGTGGTAAAGAAATTTAATATCATTAAGATACTAAAATTACCAAAAAGAACCTATCTCCTGACATTATTTCTTGAATTCATGCCAAGAAACTGAGCACTATTTAAGAATCGAAGTGTGTTGTACAGATAATGCCACCAATGTAATGATATTTTATTCTGAAGAAACATAAAATTTTAACAGCACTATAATCAGAGTGTGAAGCTACACCAATGAAGAACTGGTGTGACATGGGAAGACCAAAGCTGTAAGTACCTTCCCATCTATAAAAGAAGCATACAAATCTGATCCCTTATCCCTTAAATCAGCTGGTATGCTAGCCAATACGGATTCCTTTTCATCCATTGCTATCTAAAATTGAGAAATAACAAAACACAAAAACAGAAAGAAAAAGATGAGTGTGAACAATAAATGAATAATGAGAACATTAAAATAAAATATCACCTAAAATAACGAGTGTTACATACAAAGTTAAGGACAAAAATTAAAGAACAAATACATGCAGGTCAGAGTGCAAACTTTAACAGAAATCATGGTAAAAATAAAAATACATATGTCAATAACAGCAATGTACTAAAGCTTCACAAATTAAACAAATAGGCATGTGTGGCCTTGCTGTACTGAGTCGTAGATAAGCATGCATGTCAAGCAACAATGAGAAAGCATGTAACTCCTATGAACAATCAGAGGTCTCGAGTTACAGTCATTAACAAGCAATACGCAACAACACTGAATAATTGGTGCATGCAGAACTTGCCCAAATTAGAGGAGCCTCATTCTCCACAATGTTTTAGGAATCTGTCCATAAACCTTGCATTATTTTCTTCTCCTCACATATTTTCTTTTGTAGAGTTAAAGTCAGAATAAGAGCCTCAATTTTGTGGGTCATAAAACAAACAGAAAATAACGGGGAAAAGTACATGAAAAATCATCAGCAACGACTAACTCCACAAAACTAGGTTACAAAGTTGAGATACATATGCTTCAAAAAGGAAACCAGTAATTAAAACAACATGGGCAAAACATGATATCATGCACTGAATATTCTAGCTTAAATAGATTATGATACTCATTATGTTTTTCTCTCCCTTTCCAGGACTATAAGTTGAAAGGTAACGAGTAATACCTTTAGAGCTTTTTTCACATTTCCCTCCATTGTTCCATAGGGCTTTCTCTGTGGAATCCTCAGCAAATATGAGATGTCCTCCAGAGAATCCTATAAGGAGAAGCAAGAAAATCTGCAAATAATTTAACACCTAAGGAGATATGGAAGCAGCAGATTTATAGTACTTTCGAACATGAAAAAAACAAATCAGTCACCTGTATAGCTTTCATACTTGCATTTGCAGGGATAGCCCTTCGCAAAGCTAGTTCCCCTGTTCTAGGAACTTTTGTGTCTGGAGAATAAAGCACTGCCTTAGCAGGAGAAATGGACATTTTATTCCAACCAGCCAAAGGTAGTGGAGATGTGATTTGAACTAAAATAAGAATAGCAGCAATGATGCTCTCAAATCTCTTCGCTCCATGCTCCAAAACTGACGTGTAATCTTTGGTAAGAATATCATGCTGGTTTGTGAATCCCTGCACGGCTATATCCCAGTTCAGAAGTGGGACAACCAATTTGGCAAAAAACCATCCGTTCATGGGTTGCAAGTATCCTAGGGTGGAGGATTGGGGAGTTAGGGTCATGTGTGAGAGAGAGAAGAAAGAGAGGTCAGTATGAGTATATTTATTCAGCCAGCAATCAACGAGGTGAATAGGAGGGTGGAGTCAGGGTGAAAGAGAGGGGAATGCAGAGGGGGAGAGAGATCAATATCAGCATATAGAAAAAGGCAGCAGTCAACAGGGTGTATCACTGCTGAAGTTGATTAAATTGGGTACAGCAACCCCACAATAAAGGCATTCTATCATGAGCGTATAAAAATCAAAGTGTCAACGCAGTTACAAAACTCATTTGGAAGTGAAGAGAAACGCACAGAGTGGTGGAGCCACGTTTGAGGGCTGGGGAGCACTTGCTCCTTCAGCCTTTGAACAATACTTGGATATATAGTAGTAAAATACCATGACTCTTGTCAATGTACCACGTGCCCCCTTTGGTTTTTCAAGAGTTGTGTAGTGACTCTAATCCTTTTTCTTTTAAGTTAGTAGCCCACTGATCCCCCAAACCAGGCAAACCAAATATTTCTACTCTTGGAATGTGAAATGTCCAAAAATAAATGTGACATGCATGAAACATTTCCGATTCATCCTCACCCTTAAATATCATGACCAAAGAATAAGACCTCTCTTTTTTAATGTACTACCCACTATTTTCTTTTAAAGCAACATATAGTTGACTCTGACAATATCTCGAGAAATTAGTGGCTGATAACCAAGTAAAACATGATTAAAAGCAAATGGTAAAATGCCATAACACAAAAAGCATTCTCTACCTTATGAAGAATCAATTTTAGATAGATTATGTTCTTGACTAGATTTGCAACAAAATGAAGTATGATTTTGTCATGGACCCTTTCATTTTATACATTGAAAGGAAACTGCTAAAAAATGTAGCACATAATCAACTATAGATGATATTGAGAATTTGAAAGAACACCGTATTTCACTTTAATATCATCCACGATACTAGTTTTAGTCGTCATACACTAATTTAGGTTTGAATCCGAATATATTTACATGCTGAAAACTTAGGGATCTTTTATATGAGTTGGTGAATTTTTATTCATGTTTTTGCCTCCCTATGATTTAATCCTAACACCGCCACCAAGTGCACATTACTACAAAAACTCATTATTCGTAAGTAGCCCATTGGATAAAATGTATTTAAGTCCTATTTGATACCAAAAAAATGCAAAAATGGATTTACCATTTTCTAGGCATTCAAGTTGTGCCGGAAAAAAGGACTATTTGAAAGCACAATGCAGGCACGACTATATAAAACACAATGCATGTATTTCATGAGCAAAAATTGGTATTATGATTCAAAATTGCTACTCACAAACAACAGTATGAATGAAAATTGGTATCATGAATCAAAATTGGTACTCACAAACAGCAGTATGAACGAAAATTGGTATAACACGAGAATTTTAACAACTACAAATATTTTACTTTTGGAATGTGAAATGTCCAAAAATAAATGTGAAATGCATGAAACATCCTCACCCTCAAATATCTTGACCAAAGAATAATACCTCTTTTTTTTTTTTAATATGCTACCCCTTATTTTCTTTTAAAAGCAATGCATAGCAGCCCCCGACTATTTTCGATAAGTTGATGGCCCTAATCAAGTAAAATACAATTAGATAGAAATGGTAAAGTGTCATAACGCAAAGAGGGTTCTCTACTTTTCCAAAGAATCAATTTCAGGTGATCTCAACGGGTTTTGTAACAAAATAAAACATAATTTTGGCATGCACTCTTTCATTTTATATGTTGAAAGGAAATTGCTCCGAAATGTAGATTAAAAGGGGAGTAAATCCAATTTGATATAAAAAAATCCATATAAATGATTTTACCATTTTTCAGGCACTGATGTTGCCCGGAAAAAAAAAGGACTATCTCAAAACATAACTCAGGCACGACCACAAGTGTCATCAGTAATGTTCAAGGTGTAGGCTGGGTGACTTCTAATTTTTTTCCCCGGTGAATGAAATTGAGTTCAAATGGATGTAATAACGTTTTACGAAAGAAATCAAGGAAATTAAACAAATTAAGTAGTGTGTTGTTGACATAATCTAAAGTCAACTATTCCATGACAATGGCATGTAGAAATTCTAACTTTCCGGGAGAAAAAGGCAATCCAAAAAGATATATGCTACTCACAAACGGCATTATGAAAATTGTTTTACCACAAGATTCTTATTCACTACAAGGATCAACTTCGCAAACCCTGGTAGCAAAAAAAAAAGAAAGAAAACTGAGTACAATTGAACTAACCGTTGAAGCGTCCTTCTTCGCCAAAATGCGAGTGAGTTTGTTGAGAGCTGAGCTTGTTGGATGATCTTCTCTACGAATTCGATTGAACCGCAACGAAAAATCGTTAGACAGAAAATCTCTCCTTGGAACACAGGGAGTGACAGAGGCATTAATAGACAACCGATGAGAGAATATGGCGGAGTACAAAGGAAGCGACATGGGCGGTAGTCGGTATTGCAGAGATTTTGGCGCGCCTCATCCAAATCCTATCTGCTGTGTTTCTGCTGGATTTTTGTATGGTTGCTTGATATAAAATGTCCGTACTACCCCTGCTGGGCTCACCCTTTATTCGGCCTGGCCCAAAAATAATACCCGATGTTTGGAAGAAAGAAAGTTATCCCAACCTGGACTAGCCAAAAATCTGCGCCTAAACTGAATACATCACAAAAAATTGAGGATTGATCGTATAATATTTTTTATTTTATTTTTTATTTTTAAAAATTAAAATTTTATAATTAAATTGAATAGATAAAAAATAAACAAGATAGGTGTAGACTAGTGGGGGTAATCTAGTATTGAGAAGTATATTAATTTTATTTTTTTAACCGAGAAGTGTATTAGTTGAATTGTTTAAAATTGAAAACCGTGCAAAGAAAATAATGTTTTTGGCAGAGAAAATAATATTTTGTGCCGCTAGGGTCGACTTTGACAATTCAAAATTGTATGGTGGTGGTTTCTAAAAATAATGGGCCCGACCACATTGGTTTTATTTTTGTGTTGGCATTGACAATTTGGTTGAATAGAAATAAAGTGTGGTTGGATAAAGATATTAGAACTAATGTTGTCACCTAATAATTCCATAGAATAGATAAATTGTATAACAGGATAAATAACAGAGTGATTTAAAGCAAAGCAAAATATTAGGAAATTTAAGGGAACAGACACTCCTATATAATATGTACACAATCAGTTTCTTTAGCCTCTCATCTCGATTTTACTAGTGCTATAATGGACCTAACTTTAAACTTTAACTTTCTAAAACCAAGTATGTTTTCGGTGTACTACGTATAATAATAAATGAAAACACTAAAAATATGAGTCAAATACTATTCCACGAAAATATGTTCACAATCTGAAGAGAACGACAAAAGCAAAGTGTTTCAACCAACTTTGTAATCTCAAATCATTGCAAAAATATAAATATAATAAATAGTCAACATGTACTCTGAGACAGCAACAACATTTAAGTAATGTCAAGATATCAACAATATTTAAGTAATGTGAAGCTATTTCACAACAATTGCGCAATGTCAACCTATTTCATGACAACTGTATAGTGTCCAAATCAATAACATGTAAGTCATGTTAAGTTATTCACCAACTCTAACACTGTAAATACTACTTAAATCACAAGATTATCAATAAACTACAAAGTTTTACAACAAAACATATTTGATCGATTATTTTCTCAACTCAACATAAACCAAATCATCACAACTTCATTTTACATAATAAAAATAATTTATATATCATATACTTTTATTTTTAATTATTATAAAGCAATACATTTCACTTGTCATAGTCAACTAACACACCACTCTGTTTTATATCGATCCCTAGGTAGAATTGATATAGTAGCTTTCGACCTTAACAATTTTTATATGTACAAATATAATTGTGCATCGACTCTAAAATTACTCCCAAAAAAAATATAAGTGAATGCATAAGACTATGTTTCATGACATTTCATATTCATTACAACTCAGGTTCTTAAAAGAAATTTTGGACTATTCCGTGAATTCTATTCTCTCAATCATCGTCTTATCCAACCCAATAGTCATTTTAACCATAAAGCCTACCATAAATACATATTCCAATGTAAAATAATGAAAGAAACCCTACAACTATTAATGTTAGACATATAACTCATTACTTCTAAACAGTATATAGATCATTGTTGTTGTCCCAACCAACGACAAGGCAAATTCACCATAGGTAAATAATTATCGATAATTTCATTTATTTGTCACCTTTATTTCATATTATGTTTAATACAATTTAATCGGGTCGCTTTAGCTTCATTTCCAATCCTTCCCTTAGTTTAAATATTTAGTTGAACACTTAACATGCGTGAAAGTGTTAGACAAACACATCGCTCAAAGATAATTAAAATAGTATTTTATTCTCACAAAATTAACAAGAGATTAAGTTAATTATAAATTAGACTTCCTTAGCATTTTAACCATAGGTCATGAGCTAAAATTGGAGTTTCATGTAAAGAATTATGCTCACTTGTTTAAAAAGGTACTAAGCTATTTTTTTCATCAATCACAACATTTCAATTAACTTCAAACAGACGCTAGTTTCACACAAATAAAATTAGATTTTGTACCATATATGATTAGAAAGATCTATGAAGCTGTGTTCTAAAAAAAATGGTGCATGAATTCGATTTTTTTAGATATCACCATTTTTCTATCAGATGTATAATCTATACAACAAAAATTAGATTACTACCGCCATATTTATTATTCTACCCATGAACTAAAACCCACTCAAATCTACTCCAAAAAGAATCAAAACCCTCCCAACAATATTCCACTATCTTTTAATCATCCAAAACAAATTTAGAGCAACTAATATGTAAGTAATCCAATGAAGTAAGTATAACAAGATGAGATATGTTATAGCCAATACAACCCTTAACTAGATGCATGCAACCATGANCGAGAAATTAGTGGCTGATAACCAAGTAAAACATGATTAAAAGCAAATGGTAAAATGCCATAACACAAAAAGCATTCTCTACCTTATGAAGAATCAATTTTAGATAGATGNCGAGAAATTAGTGGCTGATAACCAAGTAAAACATGATTAAAAGCAAATGGTAAAATGACATAACACAAAAAGCATTCTCTACCTTATGAAGAATCAATTTTAGATAGATTNTAAGTATAACAAGATGAGATATGTTATAGCCAATACAACCCTTAACTAGATGCATGCAACCATGAAATTCAACAAATGAAAATCTGAACAACAAAAAAAGAAGTGCTTATCTTTCCAAAATGAGAAAATATTTCGTTTTTGGCAGGTACCAAGTTGTCATTAACAGCNTTATGTTCTTGACTAGATTTGCAACAAAATGAAGTATGATTTTGTCATGGACCCTTTCATTTTATACATTGAAAGGAAACTGCTAAAAAATGTAGCACATAATCAACTATAGATGATATTGAGAATTTGAAAGAACACCGTATTTCACTTTAATATCATCCACGATACTAGTTTTAGTCGTCATACACTAATTTAGGTTTGAATCCGAATATATTTACATGCTGAAAACTTAGGGATCTTTTATATGAGTTGGTGAATTTTTATTCATGTTTTTGCCTCCCTATGATTTAATCCTAACACCGCCACCAAGTGCACATTACTACAAAAACTCATTATTCGTAAGTAGCCCATTGGATAAAATGTATTTAAGTCCTATTTGATACCAAAAAAATGCAAAAATGGATTTACCATTTTCTAGGCATTCAAGTTGTGCCGGAAAAAAGGACTATTTGAAAGCACAATGCAGGCACGACTATATAAAACACAATGCATGTATTTCATGAGCAAAAATTGGTATTATGATTCAAAATTGCTACTCACAAACAACAGTATGAATGAAAATTGGTATCATGAATCAAAATTGGTACTCACAAACAGCAGTATGAACGAAAATTGGTATAACACGAGAATTTTAACAACTACAAATATTTTACTTTTGGAATGTGAAATGTCCAAAAATAAATGTGAAATGCATGAAACATCCTCACCCTCAAATAACTTGACCAAAGAATAATACCTCTTTTTTTTTTTTAATATGCTACCCCTTATTTTCTTTTAAAAGCAATGCATTGCAGCCCCCGACTATTTTCGATAAGTTGATGGCCCTAATCAAGTAAAATACAATTAGATAGAAATGGTAAAGTGTCATAACGCAAAGAGGGTTCTCTACTTTTCCAAAGAATCAATTTCAGGTGATCTCAACGGGTTTTGTAACAAAATAAAACATAATTTTGGCATGCACTCTTTCATTTTATATGTTGAAAGGAAATTGCTCCGAAATGTAGATTAAAAGGGGAGTAAATCCAATTTGATATAAAAAAATCCATATAAATGATTTTACCATTTTTCAGGCACTGATGTTGCCCGGAAAAAAAAAGGACTATCTCAAAACATAACTCAGGCACGACCACAAGTGTCATCAGTAATGTTCAAGGTGTAGGCTGGGTGACTTCTAATTTTTTTCCCCGGTGAATGAAATTGAGTTCAAATGGATGTAATAACGTTTTACGAAAGAAATCAAGGAAATTAAACAAATTAAGTAGTGTGTTGTTGACATAATCTAAAGTCAACTATTCCATGACAATGGCATGTAGAAATTCTAACTTTCCGGGAGAAAAAGGCAATCCAAAAAGATATATGCTACTCACAAACGGCATTATGAAAATTGTTTTACCACAAGATTCTTATTCACTACAAGGATCAACTTCGCAAACCCTGGTAGCAAAAAAAAAAGAAAGAAAACTGAGTACAATTGAACTAACCGTTGAAGCGTCCTTCTTCGCCAAAATGCGAGTGAGTTTGTTGAGAGCTGAGCTTGTTGGATGATCTTCTCTACGAATTCGATTGAACCGCAACGAAAAATCGTTAGACAGAAAATCTCTCCTTGGAACACAGGGAGTGACAGAGGCATTAATAGACAACCGATGAGAGAATATGGCGGAGTACAAAGGAAGCGACATGGGCGGTAGTCGGTATTGCAGAGATTTTGGCGCGCCTCATCCAAATCCTATCTGCTGTGTTTCTGCTGGATTTTTGTATGGTTGCTTGATATAAAATGTCCGTACTACCCCTGCTGGGCTCACCCTTTATTCGGCCTGGCCCAAAAATAATACCCGATGTTTGGAAGAAAGAAAGTTATCCCTACCTGGACTAGCAAAAAATCTGCGCCTAAACTGAATACATCACAAAAAATTGAGGATTGATCGTATAATATTTTTTATTTTAATAATTTTTTATTTTATTTTTTATTTTTAAAAATTAAAATTTTATAATTAAATTGAATAGAGAAAAAATAAACAAGATAGGTGTAGACTAGTGGGGGTAATCTAGTATTGAGAAGTATATTAATTTTATTTTTTTAACCGAGAAGTGTATTAGTTGAATTGTTTAAAATTGAAAACCGTGCAAAGAAAATAA